TGAGGAATTTTCAAGAGGTGCATCTTCTGAAAAGAGCGGGTAAAGGTGAAGTGGATGTTGTCCATGAAGTGCTTTGCGACCTTGCGCAGTATTAATGATCATTAATAGATATTGAACTGAACGGGTGTGCATGTGATTGTGTGCATTGATATTTTCTATTAGTACTGCGTATAATGCACTTATGACTGCATAATTGACCTTTCGGATTTACGAAATCTCTAAACCTTTCTTTTGGCCTTGCATTACTAGATAACTTTGGGAGACTAACGTTTCTGAAAATAAACCAAAGGCAGAAAAAAGGAGAGTTCAGTCTGCAGACAATTTGATTCATTAGTCTAAGAATTTTCAATAAGAGCTTATTAATAATAACTTAGGCATTCATTCATAATGTGAGTCGCAAATTTTTAAATGAATTGTCATTTCAGGCGAGAAACGTGAGCTTTAGCGGTGTTATAACGGTACAGGTGACAGTAGGTCTCTTTGCAACTATACAAGGCCGAGTCTGGTGAACTATATACGATAACATTTGGGCACTTACTAAAGCTGAATTACTTCATACGTAAGCAGTTACTGTCAAATTCTTATTGTATGCAGGGTGACATCCAAGGATTCGCGTGTAGATGTTACTTTGAACTGGAATGACTTCGATATCTCTCCCGAAACAAAATTGAGTCTGGACCTCAATATTACGTTTACTCATGACTTATATATGGCAAACATTCTGAAACCAATAATTGAAAAGACTGTTTCCTCATTGCTTAATTCTTATTTACCTAAACAGGTAAGAAGCAAATAATTTCGTCAACTTATTATCAAAAGTATTTTCAAGGTGACTAAATTAACGAAGACTAAATTAAATCCTCTCCTTCACAAAGCGAAACAACTTCTAACCGAAAACATGGGTGACGGTTGGGCCGTGCAGCTGAGTACGCAGGACCAACATTTGCAAATTGCCCTCAAACCCCGAAGGTACGCGAATTCCATGTTTCGTGGATGATGAGCTACAGGAATTAACAGAGGCTTGATAATGATATAGCAACAAGGGCTAATCATTAATGAATTATTAAGCCTCTGTCAGCGCGCGTTAGTTGGTAAGGAGGAAAGGTTTACTGTAATTTGCACAACATATTGCTTCACTGACTTATTCAGTAGCTCTCCAAAATCAAAATTTGAACAACTTTTGCTTTTAAAGACAAAGTCTCCATTACTTCTTTGCCAATGTTTTAAATAGAGATAAGACAGCACCAGAGTTTTGTAGCTTGCCTAGAAAATATCAAACATATGATTTGCTCCTCAATCTTTATCATTGTATTTGGAGGACATAATAAAAATCTATGAGCAGGCGAGTGGCTTACCCCTCATTAATTCCCCATATTGGAAAAAAAATACAGTTTTATAAATTGGAGGAAAGATTTTGAGTTTAGCATCTTTGAAGTTATCCTCTTATTAAATTATAGACTGTAGAAAGAGAATGTAAGCGCTTCCTG